CGACGACTCCTGCTGCTGCTACTACTGCTACTACGACGACGGGAATAACGCGATGGCACCACCCAAGTTAGTTTCCCTGAACTTTCTGAGAAAGCCCGCTCACTTCGAGAAGCACTTGTTCGAGCATCTGGAAAACCTTCTGTGAATCAGATTCGCTTCTTAAAGCTTGCCAAGGCCCCCACGCACCAGATACCATAAGAAGCCCATCTCAGTGTTACGTTCATGCAGGTCTTCATCTTACAGTCTTAACATCATAGTGGTAGATAGTCACAGTCATAGTCCCGAGTATGGAACAACATATTTTTTTGCAATACCAAACAAACTAGAAACCTCTATCTCGATGACGACTACGACTATCGGCGCCTGCTGCCACTGCTGTGGCTAACACTGCCCATGCTGCGTTTGCTGCTTCATAAGTTCACACAGCCATTCTCCTGGTCGAGCACTAGCACTTGGCCCGCCCTGCGTGCCTGAGTGCCATCGGTGCTGCTGTCACTCCCCCCTACTCCGACATCAAGTGAACGAACAGACGGCGAACACGATCGCTAATATTACTACTGTTGCTGCTACAGCTCACGCATGCTCCGACAACTCCGCCTCCGCCTCTGTCTTCTCCTCCTCCTCCTCCTCCTCTCCTCATACTTCTCATTTTGCTACTGCTGCTCCCACTACTACCACCATCACTAGCACAGCAAGGACTCCACGACGACGCGACCACTGCTCCTAGCAGGACGACGAAGTGGGCTAATCCTTGCTACTATACTTGCGATGTATTGCTGCTACTCTCCATGCCATGAGCTTCAGCCCAGCCCCATGGGAGAAGCCTGGACGTCTCACTGAGCCGTCGACCCACGGTTGCCTCCCAGGACTTGCGCAGAACCAGAGCAACACAACATGGTCCGTATGTGGTGCCAGGAGACAAGCACGTGAACGAAAGCCCGCATTTTCTGCCTACTCTTTGGCTTGCACCACTCTGGAAGCAACTCTGCCCTACCCTGAAAGTATGTTTGCGCTTCAACCACTGCAAAATCCGCACGTTCGCCAGGGAAGATGTGCAATGTCGGGCGTGCAGCAACTTCCAGGCACCAACACTGGAGTACGAGGAGCACGAATGTTACCTGTACCAACACACTCACCTGCTCCTCCAAATCATATCCCATACAATTGGTGTCATGGAAGACGTGAGCGGCCCCGAAGTCTGAAATCCTCGACCTCTCGCGCCATGTCCGAGGCCTCGGAGGACCTCCACTTGGAGTGCGAGGGCCGCTCCGAAGGCGGCTGGGCCCACTGGCGCTTCGCGCGGAGCTCCTTCTCCAGACGCAGCTGCTCCTCAGCCAAAAGGCCCCCCCCAACCCGGCTCAAAACGCCCAATCAAAAACACCCGCGGAAGTCCTCGCGAATCCGATAGTTCTCGTCCTGGGATCCGAATCTGCGAGGCTGAGCCCTAACACCAGCACCACGCTGCACAGACTCCTTCAACATCCTCAGCTCGAGTGCCAGCTGGTCGGCCTTCCGCGAAGCCTGACCATCAACGAATCAACACCCCAACCTTCTCCCCTGACACGCCGCAACTAGACCCGTCCCTGACCCCTGCGGCCTGATCGCCATCTCCGCTCCTCAGGGCAAGCGCACATCCAACGCGGTACCGTTGCCTGATGGCTCAGGAGTCTGGCCAGCGACGATCTCCACTCGCCTGGTGCTCAGATCTTCGAGCATCCGGTGAGCCGGCGAGCTGCTATCGCTCTGTGACAGAGATTCGAAGCTCAGTTGAGTTGGGCCGGTGACGGGAGTGGACACATCCCGGTGCCGTTTCAGGCGTTCAGGTGGGAAAGTCTCGTTCTGCAACCAGCGTCCCAAGCGACCCCTGACCCCGGGAGCTGTCGGCCAGGCCGCATGCCCTCTGCCGTTTCATGCCTTTTACTCTGTTCCTTGTGGTTGTGGAGTCTTATACTCAGATTTCTGGAGTCCTGCCTTGTCAAGGTCGCACAGGACACCGGGCCTTGACCAAGCGTGAAAGGTCCGTCTTTGTTTGTGCCACTGAGGCCGTCTCAGCTTCGCACCCACAAACTTGGCCCATGATCACCTCGGAGTTCAACGAGCTCGCTGTCATGATTCCGTTATGACAAGTCATCAAAGGTGCCGACCGTTGAAGTGAAGTGTTCAATAGGCCATGCAACGTGCTGTGTTTGCTCTCACAGATAATAAGAACTGATGGTGTAGTGCCGCTGATGAGGTTCTTTGCATGATTGCGACATCGCTCAAGCCAGATGAGCTGCATTGGCAAACCCATAAATTAAGGGGCGCCTGGCTCGCATTCACAGCACATGCTGTGACAAGTGTCACACCAGATTCCACTTCTCACGGAGCTGTTAGAGACATCCCGGTTCGTTCCCGCATGACAGCACCCACATCGAGAAGACCTGCTCAGCTTGCAAACTTCGCCAGACTGCGATTTTTTGGTTCACTTTCATTTAATCTGGCGTGCGCGGCGAGTCAGTCCGTCTTCGCTTCGGCGACGGCTCGTCCTCGCAAGCGGGACACAACAAGGGTCCCGTAACTTGATTGGCAATGGATTGAGCCGCTGCAACCTACACACACCAGGCTCACCGATGTGCAAGCGACGACTCGCTCGATCTAGTGTGTAGCTAATGATCAGCTAATGTGCCATTGCAGAGAGGGCCCGGTTCGATTACAAGTCTTCCTGGTAGGCTTGCGTAGCCGGCAAGGAGTCACCGCCCTGGCACGGCAGCCGTACAGAATGCACTGGATACAGCAGTGGATGCAAGCGCAGCACCACCGACACCAAAGCGGCAAGCACTTTGCCCGTAGCTGTTCGGGAAACCATTGATACCGGCGGTAAGGAATGGCCTGGGATGAGTACGGCCTCAGCATGCAATGAAGCTCAGAGACAAAACACAGCACCACTCTCGGCTCCTGTGTGTACATACCGTGGCAGCGGGAGGACCCCTCTGCGACATTGCGGGGCTCGCGCTGCGTCGCTCCCAGGTCCATTGCCTCCCCGTGAAGAAACTTAGCGAAACTTGAAACGGAGACTGTCCCCTTCTTGTGCCTCCTTGGACCGCTGCTCTTCGGTCGCGCTTTGCCTTTGCAACACGCCTAAAAAAGTGCGGTCCTGAGAAGCTCTAGCCGCTGGCTAGGCCGATCTGAGCCGGTCGCTCTGGGGAAGGCGAAGGACCCGCCGGACCCGCTACCTGCTCCCCGTGCCGGCCCGCGAGTCCGCCGGCGAATGCGTGGCCTCTGGCCTCCCGCGCCTCCCGTTCCGGCAAAGGCTGGGGCTCTACGGTGTCGGACCTGGTCGTGCCGCGCTGCTTCCATGTGTCCTCCTGTGCCGATGTCCGCGGGCTAGGCCAATGTTTGGGGCCCGGCTGCGCAGCCTCCTTCCCGGCCTCCGTCTCGGTCCCAGAAGCCTTCCTGAGATCGCATCCAGATCACAGACATCCACAGCATGCGAGTGGTACGAGGGGTGGGCGGGGGACTCGGCGGCATCTCGCTCGGAGTGTCCTAAGCAGAGCGGTCCCCCTCCGTTTCATTGCCTTTGCTCGAGGCAACCCAACCGCAGGGCCTCGCCGACAGGTGAGCCGAAGATCGCCTCTTCCTCGTCGCTGTACACCGCAGAGTTGTACGGCAGCGCCGACCCAAAAAGTTCCTCATCGCATCTCATGTCAGCTTTCACAAGTCTGATCTCTCATGAGCAAGCCCTTACGCAGGAACAGGAACAGGCCTCCTCATCAAGTGCATCGAACATCGCCTTCAGAAGGTCACCATTTCGCTAAGGTACATCCAAAACCGTAGACAAGTCCTCGCATGAACGTCTGAGCTCACCACTGACACAGCCTCCACAGGTACATCCCGCGCCTTTCAACGGCTCTGTGGCAAGACTCTCGACAGCCTGTGCCTACCCTCTCTGTGCTAGGGCTGCTAGAGGCCAGATCGCAGTGCCAACAAGCTTGGAAGCCCTGCGCGTGCGCATGATCCAAAGATGCAACCACTCCAAGGTGCCTCCTTTGGGCTTTCGGGCACGGCAGTCGGAACGTCCGGCTTCTCCTTCGTGGGACTTTAGAGCTCCTAAAGTTTCCGAACTGATCCAAAAAAATAGACTCGCCTCTTCTCCCAGACCCATCTGCGCCATAGCGTGCATCGTTCGCTGTCGCCTGTCCGCGCACGCCACACCACAAGACGTCTTGATTTTCAAGGACACCATGGGATCCTTCAAGCGCCTGCAGACGACAGCCCTCTAAGCACAGGATCTCAAAGCCTCGGCATTCCCTTCAACCCTCGCAGTGTCCGGCCGCTTCTGAAATTCCTCGTCCAGTGTTTGTCGTTCCCGATCCTCCTCCTCCTCGCGTGGAAACTTAGGAAAGAGCTTGGGGCACCATCAAAGGAAGACATGGGAGGCAATGCCTCACTAAAGCCACGGATTATGAGGCTGACGTCCTCTCGCGGAACATGTCTATTCGCTTGCGCATCTGACCCCCAAAATCTACGACGACGAGGCACATGCCTGCATGCGTGAGGTCGCTCACTGAAAAAGGCATCGAAGCTTAGGATGCAGGGTGGCTCCTGCCGCTCCCTTTCCAAGGCCTGGGACAGGTCAGAAGAGATAAAGGCTCTGATTGTGGAGCCTCAAGGCCTCAAAAAGCTTCGGGACTTCGACCCTTTTGACCACTCCACGCTTGAGAACCGAATCGCCTGCAGCTGGTCTTGGGAACAGATAGGCTCCGTGTTCTTCTGCTCGCCAGCGTCCCGAGCAGCGATCTTGTACCTGCTTCTCTCTCCCCCAGTCCAGCTGCAGTGGTACACACTGCATGGGGTTCCTACGTTAGGTGTGAAAAGAGTTCGTTGATGTGTACGATGTTCCGCGGGACGCCGTTCCAGCTGAGGCGCTGGAAGTTTTGGGCTCGTGTCATATTATTTACAAAAGATCCGTGTGGCCGCATCGCCAAGAAAACCAACTTCATTGTAAATTCCAATGCATGGGCCACGCTTTGGCCTCGAAAACCTTTTCGCGCTCAACCGCCCTTGCAAAGGGCAAACTGCCGGGCGTGAGTATACAGTAAGCGATCGACATGCTCAGTTTCGTCAACGCTTCATGGGGCCACAAGTAGTGCTAGGATGGCCTGCATGCCTCACTCTATGCTCATTACCAACCAGTCCGAAAGAACCAAATGCGGCACTGGCTTGTGCAACAATATTGGTATTATGGCAATTCTGCAATATTTGGAGAACTCAAAACGACAACCAAAGCAGATATGCTTGCGAGTCGCGACAAGAACTGGAATTTAAGCAAGAACAACAAGGACAGAGCGAACAAGAACCAGATAAGGAAGCGCAAGAGCAAGACCAGAAGAAGCAGCAGGAGCAAGAGCAAGAAGAAGCGCGCTGTGATGACGGATCCCGCGCTGTTCCTCGAGTCGAGCCTCGCAAAGACCGGCCCAAACAAGAAACCTTGGGCTCGGAGCAGGGGGTGTAAAGCTCGCGCTTTCAAGCCGCAATTGTTGGTTCTGGCGCATTGCTTTGAGAAGCGTGTCTGTACCTGGGTTCGCATACATCGACTTCTAGGGATGCTAGAGCTTGCAGCAAACGTTTTGAAAGTGAGTAGTTTTGTCACCTTGGCCCCCGGCACATTTATCACTTTGCTGAGCAGAAAACGGCAGCAATGCACAGCTTTTGTGGAACAAGGCCCAGCACCAAGAAAGGAGACAAAACGAAAGCTGAGCGCATGTTTTCGAGGCTGAACCGCTAGATGTGACTCAAAGCTTGGAGGCGCGGTTCTGAACAGCAAACAGCATAAGCACGAAGCAATCACCGTGAACAACAACAACAACAAGAAGAAGGAACAAAAACAGGAGCCCCATCCCCACAACAACTTCTTGCTTGTGTCTCTTCTACAAAAGCTGTTGCTCTGACGGGGGGGGGCCTGTTGTTCCCCTTTCCCCGTTTTGTCTCTTCTATATGACTCGAGACAAAAGCTGGTGTCCCGTGTGTTGTTCTGAGGGGGTTGTTCCGGTGTTGTTCTGCTGTTGTTCCTTGCGGTCTTTGGCTGTACATTCGTAGAAGAAACAAAGCCTGGTGCCTCGTGTGTTGCGTTTTTTGGGGGAGGTGTTGTTCTCATCATCATCGCTATCGTGAGCATCGTCGTCAGGGTTGCTTCTTCCGAAGCAGCTTGACTAGCAGTATAGTGACTACTGACTACTGTTGCGACGATCCTGAAGAGTCTTGGATTGTTGACAGGCAGGCAACGATACGCAGTACTGAACTGACGTAGATGCAGGAAAGGTGCATCAACCTACGGACTATCTCTGAAGATATCAAGATGAAAGGGGAATACATCCAATGCATGTCTGCTCAAACGTAAGCTTCTGCTTTTCCGTCCACCAAACGACAAGCTCTTGTGCACACTTGAGCCATGCCGGCCAGCGTGCAGCGGTCCTTCAAGCAATGGCTGATTGCCTAACTTCATTCACACCCCCGCGACCGCGACAACACTGCCGGACATGCTCACTCTGCTCCAGGACCATACTCCTTCGTAACTTGTCCTGCACTCACACATGTCTTAAACAATATGGGTGCCACTGAGCAGTTTCTAGCGAGCAACACAAAACCAAAAGAGATGCACAAAACCAGGGACCCCTACTAAACATCTATTGATGATTCAAGATCCTTGGATGCAGGCCTACAAGGCTCCAGCGCACGTAGCTGCCGTTCTCTTCTACCCGAGGTCTCACAGTAGGTTATACGAATGGTACAATGATCCATAAGATCTCTTATCAAATCGCACTTCCCTCCTGAAGAACTAAGCTTTGTAAGACCGTCTGCAAACATATGTTCCCCGTTGACCCAGAACGTCTTAAACCCATAGTCCACTACGAAGTCATACAAGATCTGGTAAACGAGGGACTGCATCTTAACCCCTTGGCGAGTGGAAGGTTTCTCCACCTGGATGGAATCAAACAGACCCTTGTTGTCGGTGACCAAAACTCTCGTAGTTAAACCGTTGGTCAGCTTAGACTTCACATCCTTCGCCTTCTGTCCCCAGAGAATTTGTTCGTACAACAGGAGGACACTGACAGCGCAATCAAGGGCCAGCGTAGCCGCTTGAAGCTCACTAGCATACGACGACCATACTGCACGATCTATCTTAGTGCTAGAGTACTCGGCAATGTTGGCCCTGACTTCCTTGCCCTGAAGTACCTCCTTGGAAGCCCAGAAAACAATGGTGCCAGCTTGTGAATGACCTGAGGGTCGTGACGTATGCCCTGCATCTGCGAACACTACAAGAGTCATGTCGTCCCAGGAATCTGCAACCCTCGAAAACGTCATGGTTTGCTCTCTACTCTTAAGGGTGCGCACAATCTTATTCAGGTCAACCAAATGTTTCTTCTCGGGTTTGGTACCATAGGAGGCGTAATGAGAAACATCATACGCAATGTCGGGTCTAGTATTGATGGCTACCCAAAGCAGAGCTCCAAGTTGGGACCAGAAGGTTGTTTGGCCCTGTCTGTTAAGGAGTCCTTCAGGCAAACGTCTTGTGGGAACTTCCTTCAGATTCTGAATGTACTGCTTCTGATCAATGACGACCTCCCTTGTTTGTGGGTGTTGCTTAAGGGTAATTCCGGTGTAGATGACTGGCATCGCATCAGCATATTTGCGTTCCCCGAATGGCAACCTAGACGTAAGCTTTCGAAGTGCTGCTTCAAACTCGGGGCTTTCAGTAACGGAACAACCTGCAACTATCAGATCATCTACGTGAGCACCCACTACTCCCAGAACACGGCCGCTCTTCTTACTCCGTAGTACGTAGACACACCTGTCTGCAGGAACTTGTTGAAAACCACACGCCTCTAACTCCGACGTCAACCTTCTGTACCAAGCTAGAGGGGCCTCGCTAAGTCCATACGGAACCTTCTTAATGCGAGCGATGGTATCAGGATCGTAACCCTGGTCAAGGACAAGATCTTTGGGAAGTTCTGCATAGATAGGTTTTACACGGGAGCTTTTCTCGCCAGCCAGGAAGGCTGTCTTGGCGTCTAAAGTAAACAGTCTCCACATGTTCTGTCCTGCTACGGTTAAGACTGCATGCCGTCCCTGACGCGACAAGGTAGGTGAGGCTGTTGAGAATTGGCCGAGGTCAGGGTCCCTAAAGCCCCTAATCACCAAACGAGCTTTGGCCTTCTTAGGGGCGTCGGGGGTCTCTTCTACGCGCTTCCAGGTAAGGACCCACCTACAACTGATCACCCGACGAGGGTCAATTCCTTGCCTACTGATAAGTTCGACAACGTCATTGCTGAGCCATTGACTCCATTCAGCCTGTTTAGCTACTCTAAACATCTCCTTCTCTTCTTGATTGAGGTAGCGTTCAGTCACTTCTGCGCCACGCTTCTTCATGGCAGCTGCACTGAGGGCCATTTCTTGCACGATATACCGAATGGATTGTTCATCCTGAATTTCCTCCAGGCCTACATCAAATTCTAAACCGAAGGACAGACCGGAGTAGTCGTGATCAACCGATTCGGTAAACCATGCTTCATCGGCATGATCTGAGCCCACACCTTCAAAGTCTGAAAACGCAAGAAAGCTACCCTCCCGAGGGGGAGGAGTCCTGCTTCTGGTCCTCCTAGACGGCTCAGCGCCAGTAACCGTACCCGGAACTTCACTAACTACTGGTGTTGGACCATGCTGGGCACGGTGTGTGGACTCATCGTCTAATGCCGAATCGTGAGCCCGTTTCTCCCCCCGCCTGCTGTCGGCTTCAGGAACGGTGGGCAGAGAGACCGCAGAAGCGGGATCACCGCCCGGCGGGGTCGGGAGCGGGTCGGGCAAAGAGGCCGACGGCAGCTCAGAACGGGTAACGCGCGGCGTGCCTGGCACCGGAGTCCCTGGTGCAGGAGTGGCGGGTCCAGGGGTACCAGGCGCGGGCGTCAACGGGGCTTGAGGAAGAGGCTCGTATTCAGCTTCCGGCCCCAGGGGCTCCAGTACCAGCTGTTCGGCTGGTGTGTCATGTTCCTGTTCAAGCTCAGCAGAACTAGGGCGCTCATTACGTACGTCAATGCCACGGGCTAGCTTCATTTCTTGGAAGGTACTTTGGCCAGAGACCCCCGCTTCCTGGAGCTTAGTGCGAACCCACTGAGCCTTAAGACTAACAGGACGCAACTGTTCTGGACTACACAGGAAGAGGCGGCCGTGCACCGTGACATAGACGACTCTTGGCACCAGCTTGTCGGAGGTACTTTCAACCGCCACCACCTCGCCAGGACCCAACCATACACCACGTCTACCCGGGTTAGCGGCATCACCACGCCTACGCCGATAGACTAGTACCACTTGGCCTTTGTAGTACGGACCTTGATAGGGTCGCGAGCGCGTGGCTTGGATGCGAGCGGTTCGGTCTCGGACCTCAGATTGAACCCAAGCGGTCCTGGCGGCCATACGGCGCTGCATAACCACTTCATATAAAGGATCCTCATTATGCAACCTTTCAGCTAGACATCTGAGATCCTCGTCCGATTCGGCCATATTCGGTGGTGCTCGTGGCAGCTTACCAAACACCAGCACGGCAGGTGACACACCTTCAACTCTCATAAGCTCGTTTCGGGCTTGCAAGACATGTGTCACTGCTTGGTAAGGGGTGCAAGTGCGCTCAGCTTCAAACACCCGTTGTGACTGCTGCCGTATGGTGCGGTGAAGTCGCTCCACTTGTCCGTGCTGCCACGGAGACTGTGCTGCAGACAACCGCTCTAGCACTGCATTCCGACTCAAGAACTG